AACAACAAAACATATAAAGAAATGACCCAGTTTAAAGTGGATATAGAATTCTGGAAGAACCAGCAGACCCCACCATTGGAATGAGTAACTCCCAGAAGAATTTAAATAAGAGAACAATCTAAACTATAAAATAAATTCAGGTATAATTAGTAAAGAGATAAAATAAGGATAGAATCCATAATAAAAGGATTTTTAAAAAACTAGAGGAAAAGAACAGGCAGTAGGAAAAGGCATCAGCTAGCACTTCTAGAAATAAAAAAATAAATCATAGCATTTAAACAATAGATAGGTCATCAATGAAGAAAGAATTAGCTGGAAAATAGGCCTGCGTAATTACCCAAATGCTATTTTAAAATATTTCCTAACTGAATATAATATAGAGGTAATAGACACTAGAGGCAAAACAAGAAGGTCCAACATATATATAATAAGAATTCTAGAGGAAAGAATAGAGAGAATGAAAGCAAGATAATATATGGTGAAATATGCTACAAATTTTTAATAATTTAAGAAATACAGGGGTTATCTGATTGAGGAAGTATAAAAAATTCCAATAAGAAAAAGTAAAAACAAACCCAGTAAAACTAGGTTTGCAGCAGTAAAACTACAGAACGCAAAACAAAGAGCAAACTTAAAAACCACCGAGAAACAAGCTCTCATCACCAATAATACTGGAAGACAGTATCTCCAAAGTAATGAGCAAAATAATTGTCAACTAAAAATTGTGCTCCCAAATAATCTGTTATTCAAAAGTCTTAGGATGAAAGACAGTTTTTAAAAAAAATATTAAGAGACTATTAACATTTGTATATGCTTATCAAAGAAGTACTTCCATAAGAAGGAATTTAAATCCAGAAGGAAAAAGAGGGGTGCAATAAGTAACAGTGGTCACAGGAAATGTGGGTGAAGTTAAATAAGTATAGACTGTCCCTAGTCAGGATGGCTCAGTGGTTGAGTGTCAACCTATGAACCAGGAGGTCATGGTTTGATTTCCAGTCAGGGCATATGCCCAGGTTGCAGGCTCGATTCCCCATGTGGGCTGTGCAGGAGGCAGCCAATCAATGATTCTCTCTCATCATTGATGTTTCTACCTCTCTCTCCCTCTCCCTTTCCTCTCTGAAATAAATAAAAATATATTTTAAAAATAAATAAATAATTATAGACTGTAAAAACAATTTTAAAAAAAGAAAAAACTAATAATATAAAAATTACATAGTAGATGTAAAAATGTGATGGAATTATAACACTGGACAATATTATGAAATACAGAGTATGATCAGAGTTACAATATGATTATTCAAGAGAAGAATATGTATTTGATTAATATTATCTAAGAATATTAATGTTAAAAACATAAAAAGAGCTATTAGAAGGATAGAAATGGGACATGTCACAATCAAATCAATGGATGTAAAAATGACCAAAGAAACTCTAAGTACGATAAAAGGAAGAATGATAAAACAAGGAGGGACAGAAGAGGGGCAGGGACATGGAAATGTCCTCCAATGAGAAGTGGCACTGTAATTTCAAAGGTAAAAGACCAAAATTAATAAAATGAATGTGCATAGAGAAAGTGTCCTTACAGGTTGGCTTCCCCTGGGAAGCTGACTTGGAGATGCGTTGAGCATGCATTTTTATTAAGGGCTGCCTTGCTCTTAAATCTGGAAATGGGGGAAGGCACAGGAATGGGAAAAGGGAGACGTGGGACTGAAATGGAAGCCCCACAGGGAGTTCCAGAGCTAGAATGATCCCCCAGAGTTACTGGAGTTGGGCTGAGATGGCCCCACATGGATCAGCCATTGGATGTGAGCTGCCCTATAAAGGAGCAAAGGGCAACTCAGGCAATCCTTCAAGGGACTGATCCATCAAGACTGTCTGCTGACAGCCTCCAGGAAGCTGAAGCAAAAAACACGTCATAGGGTCTGCCGTATTACCTTATTATTGCAAGGTGCCTGCAGCTCCAGCTGCTCAAAGGAACCTATTTGTCCTGTGATCAACAACATCCCCACACCGTCTCCAAATTCTGCAGCTCAAGTTTCCATGGGAAGAGCAATGAAATTTTATTCCATAATAATAAAAGAGAAATTCAAATTACTAACCTGCAAGTCTTTCTGACTCAAAGCTACATCATGTACTTCTTGCTCCCTCATCAAAGTAAGCCAAGCAAGATATTAAGAACAACCTGGGACTCTATTCCTTCACAATTTTAAATCTTCATTTTGGTTCACAATATCATTTTTGTGTGTAATATTTTTATCAAGCATGAGTCCTTACTTGTGCATACCATTACTATTAAATACCTGTCCCTAGACAGGCAAAGGATTCCAAGAACAGAAAACGATACATGATTTATTTCTTACTCAAGTCAAAACCAATTCTATTTAAAAGAAACAAGCATGCCTAAATGGCTACCCTCTAGAGAAATTTAAGATAATTCATCTTAGCAAAATATGTCCAGCTGAGAAACAAATCAGCTGAGAAAAGAAAACAAGTAGGTACACTATAAAAAAACATTTAGCTCATAATTGTAATAAGGAATACAGAGGTAGGCACCGAAGGTTTACGGTTGTAATAAAATAAATAATACAATAATAAATAAAAAGCAATAATAAAATCTGTTTCACATACCCACAACTATAAATTACTTTTGCCCACCCTTGCATAGTGAGATGATGAAAATATAAATAGCCTCAATGTATCAATCATTCCATCTCAATAATTCCAGTGTATTAAACAATTTTTTTGGTAATTGGCTTTCTGCTGTTTAAGAAGAAAAATAACAGAAAGTCAGTTACTAGTCAAGTCCTACCAGTACTGATTGAAGAGTCGAACAGATCATTGCTTCGCTGAAGACACATGTTGACATTAAGAGGGTTCTCTCTTGGGATATCAGGGGAAACTGAGGTATCTTCAGAGGGAGATGCAGCTGAATTTCTTGTTACCTGAAGTTAAACTATTTGATTTGTCTACCTTCTTGTCACTTACATAGAGATCAATTCCAGACCCCTCCCTACATCTCGGACCTAAGAAAATTCACTTTTTAAGTCCCCAAATTGGGGGGGGGGGGTTGTCATAACAATCAGCTTTTGGTAAAAAGAAAGTGGATGATCCACTAAAGAAAACAACAGCATCTATATTTTCAAAAAATTTAATATGTTTCTTATTCTTTCAGTTGTAGCTCTGGGCTTTCAAGTAGCTAAAAACCTCTGAATTTAAAAGATGGATGTGATTCCTAGAACAGTTATACAGCATACACATCTAAGACACAGGATACATGGATTTACCATTTCTGTTTAGTGGCATCACATATGTGTGATGTAAACATAATATAAATTAATGTAATATTAGGTTAGAGTCTCAAAGTATTCATTAAAATTACCCCAGGCTTGTGCATATATTATATATAGTATAATATATACTACACTATATATTTATATACATACTGTTATGTATTATATGTGTGCTATACTATCTATAACACATTATGTTACTATATAGATATATTTGTCTTGAAAATTAACCACACTGGCCCAGCTCAGTGGTTGAGCATTGACCCATGAAGCAGGAGCTCACAGTTCAATTCCCAGTCAGGGCACCTGCCCCGGGGGTTGCAGACTCCATCCCCAGTGTGGGGTGTGCAGGAGGCAGTTGATCAATGATTCTCTCTTACCATTCATGTTTCTATCCCTTTATCCTCTCCCTTCCCCTCTGATATCAATTTAAAAATATATTTTTAAAATGAACCACACTGTAATTCAGTTATTTCTCTGTGTTCTCTTTATACTTATTTTAAAGCTATTGACTACAGTGGTTTTGGATTTTGTTTGAAGTAGGGTACATTGCGGAGGGGAAGGGGGGTCTGTAAAAAAGGGAAGAAGGAAGCAAAACAGGAAGGTGGAAGAGGAGGAGGAAGGAAAAGGGAACCCCACACACAACACACACACACACACACACACACACACACACACACACACACACACACCACACACCACACACACATGCGCACACACACACACACACACACACACACACACACACACCACACACCACACACACCACACACACCACACACACATGCACTTGTAGTTTAGAAAGGGCCATGCCATGAACACACGCCAGCACCCCTCCCCAAACATGAGACTGAGCTTCCCCAAAAGTTCCTTGGCAGAGCCTTCCTTATGCCCCGGCTTGGGTGCACCCCACTGGAGCCCCGGCCACCGGGCATGCAGGACCATCCTGGGGCCGCAGCCCAGCAAACTCTTGGGTACCCCAGGCTCCCTCCTGCGCCCGCAGCCCGCAGTCAATCACGGGGCGCCCGCGCGCCAATCCATCACCCACTCCTGAGCGAATCCTTCTGCCTTTCCCCATTCCCCCTGGGCTCGCTCCTTCCCAGGGACTTACCAAGAGGCAAAGCGGGGGAGGAGGGGCGGTGGGGAGAGAGGCAGGGACAGACGGAAGAGGCCAAGAGAAAGGGCCGGTTGGCGGATTTACTACAAGAGGCGACCAAGACGTCTCGCCATCAAGACCACAGTCCTAGCGAGGCGCCATCCTCCCCTAGACCCCCACCAGCCCCGCAGCACCTACACGCTCCATTTCGGCTCTGAGGTGCCATGAAGTCGGAGAAGGGGGGGAGGGGGGCGGGGAATAAACCCGCTGCCTCCTGGGCAGCCCTTACCTCCGGCTACCCTCTCGACAGCCTCCTCCTGCGGTTGCAGA